TATTTTCGAATATTATTTCTGTATACTAGTTCATGAATTACTGTCTTATTTGTCAATTATTCTATAGTTGCTGTTGAATCCTTAAATCATAGATTAGCAAAAAAACATGATTTTCTTTTTGTTTTATTTATTATTTTATTTCAAAAGCCTCTCAGGAGTTTGCGTAGAAATTTCTATTGATAAATGAGACTAGAATATTTGTTTATTCCTTATAGTATGTTAACTATAATCGATTAATAAATAATAACTCTATGAGAAATATTTAAATTAAAAAATGAATGATTTAATATTGTAAATCATACAGCAAAACAGTAGAAAGTTACTAAACATTCAATAGTTTGATAATAAATAGAAAAGCAATTTAAATAGATGTGTTTAATTCTTTTATTGTAGGTTAAATTAATTGAGAAAACCAATGAATAGAAAAGTAAATAAACTTCTATACGATAACTTTAACTATCTTTGAAAGAAATTTTTATTTGTATAAAATATCGATTTATGTGCAATTATTTAACAGCTAATAATCGAATGTAATTTGAATTTACTGAATCTTTAAAATTCCCATGACAATTATTCAAAAAACATTTGCGTCTTTTGTTGTGTTTACAAAATCATGGATTCAATACAAAACTTAATATTCTTGAGACTACATTTATTCTTTTCTTTACTCAAGTGAATCAAATATATGAAAAACAAAACTAGATTTCAAATCCCTCATGCTCAAAACATTTTTGCATATGAAACGTTCTAATTTTAGAACGATCGAATATATGTCTAGATATTTGATCAGAGTTTAATACAACGTGCTGATTACGCAGTATCAATCTAGCAATTTGTTTTATGAAGTTAATTTATATCCAATGTTGTATAAAAGAGATATATGACACTGATAAGCTTAACTGATCATTAAAAATACTAGCTGAGTATTAATAGCAGCTCATATAATATTAAAGTATTTTAAAAGTACGCAAAAAATATTCTTAAATTATTCAACTTGGTTTTTTTTCTTGCAGTAAAATTCAAGAATGAAAAAAGGATATTGTAAGTAAATAAAATTTTATATTCGTTATGTATGCAAAATTTTCATATCTGATATGCATATTTTCTAATCAATCACGAGTTTTATTACAAGTATCATCCTTCTTAATATTTATAGCCAAATTCGAGATGTATGTAGTATTGAATAGCATAAAAAGAAATGATTCTCATTTGTATGCCAACAGTCTTTTATTGAATATAGCGGAAATACTTCTTCATCAGTTATTATTTTTTTTTATATAGAGAAATCCGGTTCGCTTGTAAGATAGTATAACGTCGTATTACGGCGCAAGAATAAAAAAATAGAAAAGAACGAGAAAGAGAGAATAATTCTTCTGCTTTGCTCCTTTTTTCTTGTTCTCTTTTTTTTCCTACCATTTCAAGGCATACGTCCAATCTCATTGACATGATAAAGATTTTTCCATTTTTTTTTTCGCAACGTCATTTACAGTGATAATCTGATCAGCGATATGTGTATAAGAAGATCTACTTTTGAAGAACAAAAAGAAAATGTTCGAATACATTATAAAATCGAGCGTTAAATCGATAGAAAGCTGACAAATGACAGATACTTAAAAAAAAATCAGTTTTGAACTTTTGTGATCGTCGATGTTCTTGACTAAACGGTAACATTTAATATTTCCTATTAGTAGCTTGAGATGAAATCTTTTTCTGCTTCAGGTTTATAATCGCACAAAGTTGTGTAGCTATGAGCATTGCTTTTAAACTAGAGAAACTAAATATTTAAACTGTAAGGTGCATGTCCCATGCTCTATATATCGATGTTTCTGATAACCATAGGTTTTGTTTAATCTTGCGTGTGTTTTGTTTTCAATATAACATGAAAAAGGATCAACTTCATGCTCGTTGTTTTGCTTCTCTTGTTTCCCTTATGAAATATATGCTTCGTAATGTTAAGGTGATTATGAATTAGTTTGTAATGATTTTGTTATAATCATGTAATACTAATTAATATTGGTAAGTAAAGCTTGAAATTAATTCAAAATTAAAGTCATCATGACATAGAACATACTACTTTTTTTTGTCGAAATCAATCAGTTACGTGATTCAAATCTTCTTATCTGTTATCATTTTATATTTTTGAGGATTATGTATTAATTAACATGCACTGTGATATTTGAACTTAATAGTGCATATCTATATATATCCTTGGAGAGATTTATTATGGTTCTTCTTTAAATTCAAAATGATTAATAATAATGAGGCTTTTTGTTGATAAAGATGAATGTGAACTATTATGTCAGTTTAACTAATCATCAGAAATAAATATAATTACATAATGTATTGAGTAGATCTGTATCGATAAACTTAGTCATAATTGACATGTTTCATTTCTTTGTCATTTGTCTAAATCAATGGATATGATTTATTCAAATACATCCACTTTTTAGTTGAAATTATAAATAGAAACAATTCATTATTTATTTATTTTTCTCTTACGTATTATTTCTCAACGGTTTTCAATCAGGAAATCGACGGTTAGATTAATTCAATGAGTAGTATATCTTATGGTTGTAATGGGTAGGGGAAATTACATTTATTTTTCTCTTTAAACAAGAAAAAAGAAAAAGAATGTGACAAGTACTTGTCGAGTATTGCTACTAGGAAGAATCAAGAGGAGTAAATTTGTTATATCAAATAGTATTTTACATGTTTTTTTCTCTCTTTATGATAGCTATATTTTTGATCATATAGTCATTGTCTCGTTTAGTATAGAGGATTGCACTGCTTATATTCCTGATGAGAAGTTTTACTAGATGTCTCTTCTTTTGAAATGTAGCATATTAAAAAGAAGATTGAGAATATCAGTCTTTTGAACGTGCATGTTTAGACGATTAATCCTAGTAGATTGTTATCGGAACTGTTTTTGTTTCTTCTTTTCTATCTTTTTTTTGTCTTTTGCACACCATCATCATCTTTGTTATGCGATAAAGAACTATCGTGTAAAATAATCTTTTCATGCAGTAACTTGACCTTATGCATACACTTTTTTTTTCTCTGAATATGTATATTTAATTATCTGTAGATTAAACCGATTTCCTGAATCTTTTTTCAAATATATCGCTTTCGATGACGTTACACTAGTTTCTTAAGATGAAAGCAAAACCCTGTGTTCGTTATAGAACAAAATTTTTGTTATTTCTATCGTTTCTTGTTCCTTTTTTTTGTATAATAGACTGTCATTTCTGTTTTTTTTTAATAGTAATCTAACTATATATTCGTCTTGTTATATCCATTTTTTCTTTTGATGGCATATTTGAAAATAAAATTAGCAAACTTTTTGACATCAATGCTTTTACGAAAATTATATTATTCGTTTCATTTATTTCATCAGTTTGATAGATCACTTGACCTTCCGACACTCTTCATTAATTACATACGCTTCATACATTTCATCATTCGTTGGACCTAGGAAGTTCAAGATGACCTTGCTGTCTTTATATTTTTTCAATGTAAACTGAGCTATTTTTATTAAAATATAAGGATATTAGCAGGGGCGGCGCGAGCGGGGGGAGGGGTTGGGGGAGGGTACCCTCTCTGCTTTGAGAATTCTGGCTCAGATTTTCTCCTAATTTAGAGAGATTATTAAACAATTTTCTTCGATTTTGGAAAAATATAATCGGACAAATTTTATAAATCTTGAGAAACATTTTAGGCTACTTTCTCCGATGTTTGGATACCCCCCCCCCTGTTCTAACCTCTTCGCGCCGCCTCTGGATATTAGAAAAAGAAAAAAGACGAAGTATTTAGATTGCAAATAATATTCTAACTTTTAAGAAAAAATTTTTACACCTAAAAATATATAGTAATGTCAGTAAGTACTTTAATTATAAACTTTAAATGTTTTTCTTGCAACTAATGAAAGTGTTAATTGAAAAAGACAAATTGAAAGAAAACTTAAAGACACGCAAAAGATTTTGCAATGCTTGCACTTGAAAATACTTTTATAATTTTATAGTGCATAAGGACTGTATGTTTTAAAAATAAGCTCATCAGAGATTCATCTTAGATTACATAGAGACAAAAGGACGATTTATACTGTGTCGCTCTTAAATAAATGCATTTAAACAAATAGAATCAGAAAATCTTCATTTAATAATAATTTCATAAAAGTGAATCTATATAATCAAATTAACAACTTTTTTCCTATTTAATGAAAAATGTCTGTTCGTACTGTTCTTATTTTCATGAAACAAAAAAAAAATACCCATTTAGAAAATATAATGAGCTATCGGCAGTTTTAAATCATTTGGGAATACGAAATGTCCCCTTTCTCATCATATAAATAATGACAATAAGTTATTATTCTAATAGAGCATATTATATTCATTTTTATTCAGTATGAATAAATATATATATACTTTTCGATAGAGATCAACAGATTTGTTATTTCTAATAATAGACATTATTAAAATTGAGAATATAAGAAAGATTTGTATTGAAAATCGTTTTTTAAACTTTGATTTTCTTAACGACCTATTCGCAACTTTTAACCAAGATAGTTCAATAACAGGGTCGTATTATATTTTCTCCTTATCTTAGTAATTTCCTAAGTTATTTATTGGCATGACTTTTACGTCAACTTTTATATCCGCTTAAATTAATCGTGAGATACGAAACATCAATGATTATTATTATTATTATCGTACGACTCTACAATTAACTTTTCATTATGACAGTCCTGTCCTTGACCTCATAGTCTACATATATATATATATCATAAATTTTCATTTATTTTAAGAATAGCAATGCTTTGATCTATTTTCGCGTGAGGCATAGCTTCAAAGTACACTTTATTTTTAGAAAAAGGTTTTTCATGAATAAAATGTTTCTAATATTTAATTCACTACGTGTATGTTGTTTGTTTTTTTTTCATCCTTAAAAGAAAAAGTAATGTAGAAATAGAGAGTAAAAGTTGAGAACTATTTTTTTAGATTAATATGAATGGTTCTTTGATATATTCACATGAAAACTTTACACGGTGGGTGTCCAGTATAATATCTCCAATAATATTACTTGGTTGTGCTATTGGAAATATAATATCATTCATTATTTTATTACGACCACGTCTTCGTCGACAAACAACATCAATTTATTTAGCAGTTCTATGTATTGCTGAAATAGGAACATGTTATACTGGTCTTTTAAGACAATTTTTACTTGATGCATTTGATCTTGATATTCGAAGAATAAATTCATTTACATGTCGTACACATATTTATTTAACATATATATTTCTTCGTTTGGCACCATTATTACTTGTTCTTGTTACATTACAACGTTATCTTTATGTTACTCATCGTGCTATATGTACTTTAAAATCAACATGTATACAATTATTTTGTTTATTTTTATTTGTTTTTATAGCTGAGTTACATTTATATATATATTATGAATTAACATATTCAGATACACGACCAAGAAGTGATCATATACCATTCGAATGTACTGTAGATAAACTTCATCATAAAACTTATTATGAATTTCGTAGTAGAATCTATCCAAAATTAGCACTTATAACATATACAATAATACCATTAACTGTTATTATTGTTGGAAATATTCTATTAATACGAACAGTACGACAAGCATCAAAACGTTCACGTTCAAAAGCAAGAAAAAAACGTTCAGTAACAAGAATGTTATATGCTGTTAGTATACTTTATTCAGTATTAACATCTCCAGCATCTATATTTCTTGCAATAGCACCAACTAGTTATCAATTAGCACCAGCATTTCGTTTACAATGGACATTATTACGTTTATTATTTTATTTATGTCATTCAGTTAATTTTTTATTATTTTGTGCAAGTGGAACATTTTTTCGACAAGAATTTATTTCATTTATACATTCAAATTGTGGTTTTCGAATAAATTGGAGACATAATGCAGAACGTACTGGTGATAATGGTGGTATAACAAAATTTGAAGAAGAAACATTACAACACAGTGTTCATCCAAATCCTAGTGAATTTAGTTTTGCTGTAAGTGAAAGACCAAGTTCAAAATTAAATGGAAATATATCAGCAGACAGTCAATTAGGCTTATGATAATCCATTAAACATTAAATATATTTGTTGCTTATGTTAACTTTGTATTTTTATTTTCTATATATTAAATATCACAGATCAATGCACATTAAAAAAAAAGCGAGAAAAAAAAACAAGTCTAGCAATTTAATTTATCGAATACCTAAATCAATAATATCCTCTGATAAAATCGTTTGTAGAGCACGTGTTAAATCTGCTTTCATTTCTTTTAATGATCCTGGTCGTCGATATTCATCTTGTGATGCATTTCTAGTTGTTGGTTGTTGATGTCGAACTGTTCTTTTAATATCATAAATAAGTTCATAACCACCATTGGAATGTCGATGTTGAGAATTACAATCAACAATACGTTGCATATCACGTTCAATTAATTCAGGATTTTTTTCATATAAACGTGCTCCTATTAAATGCATTAAACATGAATTTATTTAGGAAAAAACAATCAACTTTAGGGAATATCATAAGAGTTCAATAGATATTAAAAAGTATAAACTCAAGCCTAATGTGTTCGTTGTTTTCCTCTTGGAGTTTTTTTCTATGAGAAAATGAAACAATAACAACGTTTCTCTTTACCCCAGTGCATAGTTTGTACCATAAAATTTTTTCTTGCTATTTGTTGTTTAACATTTTTTGATAATAATGGTAATAATACTTCACCCAATTTTAAACAGACAAAAACAATATGCTAAAATAAATTTTTATTGATTATTATAGAAATAAACAAACAAATAATTCTAACTTCAAATACAATAAGAAAACCAAGACGAGCAACCATAATAACATAATAATCATGATTAGTTTGATATGGTTTAGAATCCCATGGTGGTGTACGATGATCTTTATAACTAAAAGAAATTTTAAAGAAAATATCAATGATAAGAAACAAGAATTAAACTTAAATAAAATCTTACAAACAATAAATACTAGTTGTATTATTAAATTTATTTAATGATGATGATGAAAGACGATTGATTTCATAAGCTGATAATGTAAAATTTACATAATTAACTAATGTTCGATTTGGACTTCGAGAATATTGATAAACAAGCCGAGGCACAAAATCAGATGTAAATGCAATAAGTAAGCCCTATACATTTAACAAAAAACAAGTTTTTTTTTAAATTGAATTTGTTTTTTTTTCTTTTACATTTGTTAGAATTGCTAATTTTGATATAGCAGCTATGATTAAACGCCAAATACCTAAGACAAATAATAAAAAGAAAAAAAAACAAGTTTTTTTTTTTTGTATTTTGTGTTTATTTATTTAAATACCAATATCAGCAACTTTTTTAGCAACTGGTCGACGTACATCACATACAAATTTATTTGCATCAATTCGTATTTCGACAATGTTATTAAGAAACGCACAAAGAGGAGCAACTAAAAGAAAAAAGAATTTAATAATCATTTAGTGATGTTTTCCAGAAACAATATTTGAAATATGATCATTATAATATCCTAATAAAGATATTGAAAGAATATGATATTTTTTTTTTCCATAGTTATTATACTAAATAGGATTTAGATTAATATTAACTCATAAAAATATTAATAGTCTTTAGAAGTATTATATTATGATAGAATATTAGAATTAGACTTCAAGCTTTATTTTTTTTAATAGATCGAGCTATTTATTCTCTAGATAATGAATCTTTAATAGTTGACAGATGAGAGAACTCTTCTAACTGATAACTTTCATTCGAGTTCATATTTTGTTGATTGTTAAGGTTCATTGTAAAAATAAAAGTCCAAAAAGGATATGTGACAATAATAGTTGCTTATTGAGTTAAAATCATTTGACTGAGTTTTTACCCTATTGTAAAATATTACAAGAAAAATGGAATCAAAGAATTTTAGTCAGATATATTTCATGATTCTTATAATATTTTTAAAGTTTCAGTAGACATGGTACCTGTATCTTAAGACAACAAAGTTGCAAAAAACGTTGGTTTCTAGCCGAAAATTTGAACAAATCCATTTTGTTTTAATATAAAACATCTCAAGAAGAAATCATTCGGTTTCTTTGTAACTTACAAGATATTTTATGAATCATAAGAAAAAACTTCAGACTAAAAATTCTTACAATAGCCTGATAATTCAATAAAATGATCTTAATTCAAGATGAAATTACTAATGACACATCCTTTTAAGACTTTTATTTGCACGATGTACCCTAACTATCAACAAAATATGAGCTTGAACGAAGATTATCAGTTAAAAAAATTTCGTTGTGAGTGAGTGTAAGCATTAGAAGTTAAAGATTGTAATTTAATTTATTGATATGTGTAGTCAGTAATATCTAAACTTCAACATGAATTTTTAATCAATTTTTTCAGTATTTAAGAAATAGCAATAGTCGGAAACGAAGCATTTTTTATCAAATTACTAAATATTTCCTGAACTTTAACTTCATCATATTACCAAACATAGATTTCGATAAAGTCAGAAGTATCAAAAAGACGACTTCAACTTATTGAATAGCATTTGATCAAAATAAAAATGACTAAATAGAGTTTAACTAAAAATAGATCTCATCTTCCTTTCAAAATTGATTGCTGAAAAAAATATCTATTTTTAGAATTGCACTGCATAATAAAATCTGTTATTTTCTTCTTTGGAATGTTCATTATCACAAGAAAGAGGCATCAAGTTCAATGACATTTTTTGAGACTCATGAGTAAAATGATATTTAGACTATTATTATTAATTGAAAGATAAAGACAGAAAACTAATTCCTATAATTTGTTTTTTTCTTTTTATATCGTTTTTTTTTACTGCTTACTCTAATAATTCTTCTCTTTGATACCTATATTAAGCAACAGATATTGAAATAATAAATTTTTTTTATTTTATATTCTCAACATTTTTTGTAAAAGATTTTACTGAAAAATATATATATTCCAATGTGACAATTATAAATGAAGGACAAACTCATTAAACTGATAACATCGACCATCTATCTCGAAATTCGATTTTATCTTTCCAATTTGTCACTTTATTGTCAGAAGTCAATTATTGTCAAAATGACACCATTTCATGTATATCATACAGCAATCTAATCGATTTAGTTACTATTATTATAGTCATGTGACATGATTACAAAACAAATATTTGGCGTTTTTATATTGTAGATTGAACTTATTCGTTTAAATATTTAATGAACTCGTGCATATTAAATTGGAGCCTGTTTTTATCTCTCTATAAAATAAGGTATAAATTTATATGAAAAGATTGTTCAGTGATTTCCTTTCACATCAAGGCTTGATTTCTATTATCTACCGTAAATGATCTGCACGATAAATAGAAATTAAATTTTTTTTTTATAATGATAGGAATTCCATATGAAATTCTATATCAATTGATTAGATATCGCCGTGTCCTATGAAACTTTATACGAAAATATTCAGACGAAAAATGTGAAAGAATATAGCATTTTTTCATAATCGTAAAGAAGGATCTTATATGATTGATTGTAATGCCTGTTATTCTCATTATCGCATCGCTGCTGCTATTATTATCAAAAAAAAATGAGCCGTTCTAGATTTGACATTCATTGATAAATCTTGTCAATGTCGTAACAAATGACACTGAAGTATCCATGCGAACAAATAACACTTCCAAATTAGGTCAAATATAATGAGATTATATTAGTTCTTTAAGGACGATGGGACATATTTGTTCCACCTATTTTTCAGTACAGAAAATGTTTGCTCTACATTAAACTGTTACAATCTTTAAGGTAAATAGGTCGCCTATCTGCTATCTCATGCAGATCTTTTCTCTTGTTTTCCTGTCATATAGATCCTTCTCAGATGTTCTTCTTTCTTTCTGTTACTATATACTGACGCATGATTTCTCCCTCTCTTCTCTCGATGCATTATCATCAGGTTTTTATCTAATCATTTTAAGCCAAATACAACAGATTGATTGAAGAACCATCTTTTGATTAAAAAAAAATTCCGTCCTCAAAGGGTTAAGAGAATAAATAATTAAGTTCACTAATGTTCAGACTTACTAGACAGGAATTATTAATTCATGAGTATGTAATTCATGTTTCATATGAAAGAAATTTTAAGGAAACTGCTCTGATCATTTCGAATATTTCCAAAAAAATTACAAAGATTTCTTTAACACTAATATGAATAAATGAAATTATAAGTTTATAAAACCTACTCAAAACTATACGAATTCCTGGTCATTTCTCAGTAATGTCTAAAATTTTATGCCACTTGATGGTCAAGTTTTTTTAATACTTCTGAATAGAATAGTACGATATATTTATCATTAATGTATAAAAGTTCCAGTAGCATACAAAAAATAACGAATATTGAAGCTTCTCGGTAATTTCCTAGAATTTTTGATGAGAAATATTTTTTTGTTAGGTTTTAGTAATTATCAAAAAGCTATCTTCTCGTGTGTTTGTCATTTCAGAAATGAGAACTTACATAATCAAACAATAATCAAAGAATCTTTGAAATAATAAATTTTGACAAAATAGAATGTTTCTCTCTAACTTCTAAACATTTTATCATTTGAATAGGAAAGAAAGAAACAGGGATTTAAAAAATGCGCATGATAAAATCCGTGTTATTAATAGAGTTTTAGTCAAATCTTATTTGAATGACAAACAAAATTAGACTTCTTTACTTCAATGAAAATAACGAGAATTCTTTATTCACATGCTAATTTTACACAGTATTTTATTTCCGATTATTCAATAAAATGTTCTTGATTATTAGTCGGTGCAGACACTTTACATGATTCTCATGTTACCAAATTGTAATTTAAGAAGATTATTGTCCTCTTTCCTTAAGTATTATCCCTAGATTTGGTGCAAGTGACACTTATTGGCTTTGAAAATCCGTCTTCTTCATTGTAATTCTGATATTATGCTATTATTATAATGACTTAATTAAGAACTATAAGAATATATATTCAAAATAAATAATACATTATTACATCAAAAGAATAAAAATGTATAAAATTATAGACTCACATTT